TTGAAGACTTATCAAAATGAATGACCATGATCTCACTATATTCTATTCTCTGTTTCACTTACGATGTATTCTGTTGCATTTTGCATATACAAAGCATAGGTTGGTGAAAGGGAATGCCAGTAAAATTAAACCACAGATCAAAGCTGGAAATGGCTTAAATTTATTTGGATTACACCTGGGGAACATTAGCTCTTGATGGCATTTGAGAGATGATGCTTTTATGATCTTTTCATAATAGGTTTACTAATGTACTCCATCTTATTTAAATCCCAGTGAGGCAAAAGAGAAAAATCACACACACCCTGTAGGTATCTTACAGCTGATGGACATGAATGATTCATAACTTTTTTTTAAAAGGGGCTTCCTACAAATGAAATGCACTTGGAACAATTGGATTCCATAAGAAAAATCTGGAAGTTTTTTGAGATGTTATTTTAATTTCACTAGACAGTAAAAGGCTAGAGATTTCACGCATGTCGATAAAATTTGCTACTTCAAAATGGGCATGATACGATTAAGTAATTATCCACACTTTGGAAAATTGTGCAGTGCTTTTAATGAAATGAAGGCTTGTCTTTTCTTTAAATAATGATATTCTTGTAGTGATGCTATGGGGCTGCAAGTTATAGAAGAAGAGTAGAGAGGCTCAAAGTCCATACAGGAAGACTGTGACACATGACTAAATTAGTATCTATCGAGACAGTGGTATAAGATATGTGGTCAAGGATATATAGATAACCAGAAAAGCTGATGGGCTGGTCATTTGGCAAAAGAGAGGGGGAGATGATGGATACCTCATCTGGTATCTACACAGTGTCAAGAGTCCTGAAAGAAGGTCCTCAGAACATTTTGATGGACACCTGTGGAAGATTTACAGAGACCACACAGACAAAATTTGCATTGGATAAAAGAACATGGTTAGGTTACAATGTACATCATGGGAGGTGTTATCTACATGAATGAGATCTTATTATGGAAATAATTATTCACTCAACTTTGCTGGGGTAAATGTAGTAGCATAATGATAACAACAAAAAAATAAGCCTAACAAGAGAAGCGGGGGTGGGGGGAAGGGCGTAATAATTATTTCCTTCTGTTCTAAATTATAATGTGCAAAGAAAGAAGCAGATGGACAATCCTGAAGACATAGACTATTTATACATGGAGTGGGTATGGGAGGCAGTAGGGAAGTAAGTTTCTCTAGGTGCCACACTCAGGTTATCCCCATCTCAACTTAAAATCAAGGGCCCATAGTCTCATGTAATAATGAATAGAATTGATTAGCTCCTCACCCCACCCCTTATTATTCTGAATGATCTAATATTTATTAAGTATCCCCATATGCCAACTGCTATATGGTTTATTGAAGTTTTGGAGAAAGAACTTACTAAAATTCAGTCATGATGCTTTTACGCATCAGAATTGCTGAAATTTGAAGGAGAAAACCAATAGTTCACATTCAGGATGCATGCAGAATTAGGAGTTTACATCAAAGGCAGCTATTTAGGTGTTTAGGTAGCATGTCAGGAAGGACTGAGTTCAAATCTAAGCTCAGACATTAACTATATGACACCAGGCAAGTCACAACTTCTGTTGGCCTCAGTTTCCTCAACTGTAAAATGGGGATAATAGCCCCTACCTCACAGAACTGTTGTAAGGATCAAATGAGATAATATTTGTAAAGTGCAGTGCCTCGCATATAGGAGGTACCTATTAAGGAAGTTGTTTCCTTTCTGCCTTCTCATCTTCACTCTTTCCCTCCCTCCTTTCTTCCCTCCCTCCTGAAGACTCATTGGCATGGACTGTGAGAATCGCCACTTCTGCCCTCCTAGCCAGTCTCTCTACTTCAGCCCAAATTCTGACCCTCTAATAGTGCTTGGGGCTTAGAAATTGCTGGATGGCACAGGGGCAGCTAGGTGGCAGAATGGATAAAGCTCCAGCCTTGGAGTCAGGAGGACCTGAGTTCAAATCTAACCTCAGACACATAACACTTACTAGCTGTGTGACGCTGGGCAAGTCACTTAACCCCATTGGCTAGCCAAGAAATGGTCAGAGAAAGCTGACCCAATAACTTCTTTTTTGCTTCCCACTGCTGTTTACCTCCTTTATGGATTTTGTTGTTGTTGTTGATAATTCCCTAGGAACATAGGAATGCAGAAGCATTCTGGGAAGCATCTCTTTAAATACAAACTTCTCTATTTTTTTCTATCTTGTATTATACAATTTATTGATTTGGTTTCACAGCAGTTAAGGATGAGGTAAAGAAGATAAGTGAGGAAACTTCCTTGTTCCCTTAGGCTTCCAAAAGGTCTTGGGAAACTCCAGACATCACTGAAGGGACTGCAGACTCTTGGAAAACTAGGCACTGAGATAGTTACTTCACCTTTCTGGGCTTTAGTTTCTTTTTTTCCCCTTTTTAAAAAAGTTCATTTTGATTTATCAACAATCACTTCCCATAAGCTTTTGAGTTTTAAATTTTTCTCCCCCTCCCACCCCACCTCCGTCCGCATGACAGCATGCAATCTGATATAGGCTATACATATACAGTGGTAAGTGGAGTGTGGACAGTGGGTTACATATGAGAAAGAAAAAGGTGATGAGGCTACCCTTACCTACTGTGCTTTTCCTTGTTGTCCTTGACAAGGTATTGCTCTTGGGATGAAGAGAATGGGATTTCTTCAGGCCTCCAGAGGTCCCAGATTCTTACCAAGAAATGGTCAAAGAAAGCTGACCCAATAACTTCTTTTTTTTAAATTTATTTTGAAGTATCAACAATCACTTCCATAAGCTGAGTTTTAAATTTTTCTCCCTCTCCCTCCCCAAGATGGCAAGCAATCTGATATAGGCTATACATATACATTCCTATTAAACATATTTTCACATTAGTGATGTTGTAAGTAAGAATTAGAACTAATAGGAGGAACCATCAGAAAGAGGAAACGAAACAGAAGAAAAAAATAGCAAATAGTATGCTTTGATCTGCATTCAAACTTCATAGCTCTTTCTTTGGATGTGGATAGCATTTTCCATCATGAGGCCTTTGGAGATATCTTAGATCCTTGTATTGCTGAGAAGGGCTAAGTCTATCAAAGTTAGTAATTTCACAACATGGCTGTTACTGTGTACAACATTCTCTTGGTTCTGCTCACTTCACTCAGTATCAGACCATACAAGTCTTTCCAGATTTTTCTGAAGTCCACCTGCTCAACATTTCTTACAGAACAGTAGTATGCCATTACATTCGTATTATACAACTTGTTCAGCCATCCCCCAATTGATGGGCATCCTCTCAATTTCCAATTCTTTGCCACTACAAAAAGAGCTGCTATAAATATTTTTATACATGTGGATCCTTTTCCCATTTGTATCATCTCTTTGGGATACAGCCCTAGAAGTGCTATTGCTAGGTCAAAGGGTATGCACATTTTTATAGCTCTCTGGGCTCCCACTAACAAATTACTCTCCAAAATGGTTGGATCATTTCACAACTCCACCAACAATGCATTAGTGTTCCAATTTTCCCACATCTTCTCTAATATTTCTCATTTTCCTGTTTTGTTGTGTTGGCCAATCTGATAGGTGTGCTGTGGTACCTCAGAGTAGTTTTGATTTGCATTTCTCCAGTCAATAGTGATTTAGAGCATTTTTTCGTATGACTACAGACGGTTTAATTTCTTCATCTGAGAAATGCCTGTTCATATTCTTTGACCATTTATCAATTGGAGTGGGCTTCAATTTCTAAATTTGTAAAATGAAAGAGTTGGACTAGATGGTATTCAGGGTCCCTCCAATGGGCCTTCTTAGGGACTTGTAGGTAGAAGTCTCTGGAAGGAAAAAGTTTGAAGGTACAGTGAAATGTTATCTAGACTAGGAGTCAGGACTAGGCTCCTAGGTACCCCTCTGCTATTAACTCCGTGAGTAATGTTGGATAAGTCAGTTCTCTCTTTTGGACCTCAGTTTTCTTGTCTGTAAAGTGAGAGTATTGGATATCAGTAGTTCTCAATCTTCTTGGTTCTTAAAAATTATTGAGGATTCCCAAAGAGCTTTTATGTGGGTTATATTTAATCAATATTCATTATATTAGAAATTAAAATATCTTAATATTATGAAAAGTTTTGACCTCTAGGATCCCTGAAAGAGCCTCAGGAATTTCTACAGTGTCCTGGAACACACTTTGAAAACCGCTAGACCAAATTATTGCTAAATTTGTTTCCAATTCTAACATTCTATGAGTCTAGGTCTCAGTAGGGTCTTCTCATCAAGTTCTCATAAAAAGACATTGACCAAAGGTGCATAAAAAGACTTCCTCCAAATATCCAGAAAGAAAGTGTATTCTTCACTACCTCCTTAGTCAGCTGAGGTAAGTAGGTTTTTCTTTCCCAAGAGACTAGATTGCTTATTACAGGTTTGGCTTCTTTCAAGACTTCATTAACAGAACTTGTCTTCTCTTTGTGAACTATACCTTTGTGGCTTCCTCCTATAAAATAAGGAGTTAGCTTAGATGGTTTCTAAGATCTCCTTCAGCTTTATATCTATGATTTTTGTGACCTAGAAGGTAGACCATTCACAATTTACCTAAGATTACTACTTTGACCTTTTTAAGTCTCACAGCCTCTCCCATAATCAAATTATTTATTCAACTATTGAAGACAAGTGGTGACTGACCCTGAAGATCAATTAATTCCCAAACTAATCAGAAAGTTTCAAGAAACTCTTGCCTTATTTAGCCTCTGTGAAACCACAGACTGGCTCTTAAAGCCAGAGTGATCAGAGGGTTATGGATAATAGATGGCCTATAAGGTCAATTATTTCCACATGAATGGTGTCCCACCTTTATTTTGGGGATATAATAAAGTGACTTTTTCCCCCTGGATGTTCCAAAAGTCTTAATGCAGTTCTACACTAAAATTTTTAAGGCACAGTTTTTTCCTGAGAATTTTGATCTAAACTGATTACAAACTTCATGGAAATGTAAACAAAATTTTCTGTTTTCCCCACAGATTGAAGCCACTGGTGAATCCCAATTGTAAGGTCTGGGACCTGGGAGCCTAGTTTCATTTTGTAAACATACTGAGAAGCCCAGGTGTTACATATAAGCTCTAAATTAGAAGAATGCTACAGAATGTGGAAGTAAGCACAGGGTGGAACTGCATACAGTTAAACCCTCACAGAAGAAAATGGAATATGTGTCTAATAAAGTAAGTGGCTTATCAAACTCACTGCAGGAGATATTCTTAAAGTAAATTTTTTTTTCCCTTTGCTAGCATGGACTTTGGGAATTAGAAGAAACTACTGACAACATAAAGCAAATGCAGTGAGTGTTATAGATTGTAGTGAAATAAACTTGAAGAAAGACCAAGGGCTTAAAAAGTGAAAGTTTATGTAAAATACGTCCAGCACCAACAGAAGACAGTCATCTCAATTCAATTCAATTCAAGAAGCACTTATTAAATATTTATCATATGTCAGACTGTACAAAGTGATGATTGTTGTTGTTATTGTTGTTGTTATTGTTTCTCCTTCATTCTTGAAGAGGACCATGACATCATGGAGGTAATGCCATGACTTGCAAGTGGACTGGATTTAAGTGAGGCAGGGCTGTGCAAAGTCACCAGTCTCACTTCCTCCTCTGGAGCCACTTGGGTTCAGTGGCAAGGTATGGATCAGGACGACTGGAGAATGAAGAAGGTACAGACAGAGAGGAAACAATCTTTCCCCTCAAAGAGGGCATTCTATCTAACATCCTGGGAGGGAAGAGGAGGGGAAGGAAAGCATGTACACAGAGAAAGAAACTGATACACATCCATAGCTACGCACATATATACAAGATGTCCCAAAAGCTTTAGTGTAGTTTTAAGCTTTCATAACACACACACACACACACATACACACACATTCTGTTTTTTCTCTTGCTCCTGGCCTGTGCTTTTCCAGAAATAGTACAATTAGGAAAATGATAGGTTTAGGGAGAAAGATAGTTAAGTCTGGGATGAATGGTTTTGGTTTCCTCCCATTTCCCTCAGAACTGGCCATTTCTTCCTTTCTGGGCTCCTACCAACCAAGCCTGTGCTTGATTTCTGCTAATCCCCACTAACCTGTTAAAGGATAATTTAGGTACCAGCTGATAAATACCTTAAATATGCTACCTCCCATGAATAATTACATTAAAATAAGTTTGTTAATGCCTTTTGGTTTTATATTAGCCATTTATGGATATACTCCCACTCCCTACCACTACCTTAGCACTGAACTTTCTCTTGGTACAATGACCACATTGGACAATGTATACAAATTCTTTTTAAAAATGTTTATTTTATTTTTAACTTATGAAATAAAACAAGCATTTTTATAACACAATATAATCAAAAAGATGATTGCACATGGAACTGTGAATCTATCATGTACAACTTGCAACTTTTAAATATATAATGAAGTTTCCATATAAATTTTTTTCTTTTTTTTTCATTTTTTCTTTCCTCTCCCACCCCGTCCTAGAGATGGCTGTCATTAGACATAAATAAGTATATATGTATGTGAAATTATTCTACACCTACTTCTATTTATCAGTTCTTTCTCTGGATGCACATAATACCTTTCTTCATATGTCCTTTATAGCTAATTTGGGTATTTATAATAGTCAAAATGACTTATGTTCAAAGTTTTCCGTAAAACAATATTGTTGTTACTGTATGTAATGTTCTTTTGGTTTTGTTCATTTTGTTCTTTGCTATTTCATGCAAGTCTTTCCAAGTATTTTTTTTTTAGATCATTGAGCTCAACATATTGCCTTGCAGTTCCATGCTTTTCTGCTTAGGGGAAGCAAAGATGTTTCATTATCCATTCTCAAGGATCAAGATTGGTTATTATAGGCTAGAGCACTGTCCCCGGATTCAGGAGGACCTGAGTTCAAATCTGATCTCAGACACATAACACTTACCAACTGTGTGACCCTGGGCAAGTCAATTAACCCCATTGCCTAGCCAAAAAAAAAAAGAAAAAAAAAGAAAAGAAAAGATTGGTTATTATAATTTCTCAGGATTTGCCTTACCCTTCGCATTCTTTTCAGTTGCACTTTTGGGAGAAATTGTATCTATTGTTCTTCTGGTTCTGTTTATTTCCTTTTGCATAAGATGATGCAAACTTTCCCTGTTTCTCTGAATTTCTCATACTCTTAATTTCTTAATGTACAATGATATTCTATTATAGTCATGTATTGTAGTTGGTTTAGCCATTCCCAAATTCATGGGTACTTACTTTATTCCAGGTCTTTGTTACCCCTGGGAAAATTTATTTTTTATGGGATATGTTTGAAGACCCCCCAAATGCCAAAATTCAGAGGAACTGAAGCTTTTATGATAAAAATGAGAGGCACTTGATTATTTTGATCAAGAACTGCCCATGGACCCTTTATGCCCTGCTATAGAGATAGTCACTACTCCACCTGCTTAAAAAGCTAGTCAAATGCATAGTACATTATGGTATAGGCTCACGAAAAGAAGCTTCTAGGAGGAAATAGAAGGAACAGCAGTGTGGAAGAACACTGAACTTGGAACCAGGAGAACTAGGTCCAGATACCAATTGTATCTTTTTTCCCCTTAACTTTGGAAAGGTTACTTTTAACCTCTATTGTCTTCAGATTGCTCATCTTTAATTTGAAAGTAATGATATGTTCAGTACCTCACAGAGTATCTGTAACGAAAGTATTTTGTAAATTGTAGCTTGTATAAATGTGAACTGTCATTTTCACTCTCAGACTTATTCCCCCTGTTTCACTCAAGGACACCTTTCTCTTATCTCTCTTTGTTTCCTTCTCCTGCATCAGTGCATCCTTCCATGCCTCCTCTTACCCACCCCTGAATCCAATAAGAAAGGGGCTGAAACAAATTCCAGGCAATTTCCATTAGGCAGAGGTTATATGCAAAAATTGTCAGCAGCCCCACTCAAGGCAAAGCTCCTAATTAACACCCAAGTAGAAATCACTTGCATGTCTAGTTCGGTGCCAAAAGAAATCAATCAGTGGCTAGAGCAGGAAATTAGAAAGATCAGACTGAAACCAAACTCTGTCATTCTCTCCACTTGTAATAACTCCTTGTCTCAATCCATGAGTTGTGCTTGGCTAAAATTAAATCTTAGTAGCTACAAGAAATAGATATCTTATTCATATCTATAAAAGGGAAAGAGAGCAATTTATTACTGGTACAACCTATTTTTTCTGAAACCTTCACTGATACTGCCCCTCTAACACCTTGCAAGGAAACAGAAATCACCTTTGGGAATCACCTGTAAAGCCAGAAACACTCAGTGGAGTCTCACTGTCTTTAAGGCATCAAGCACAAAAGCCACCATTGAAGAAATTCTCAAGGTTATGCTTCTCTTCCCTTTTTCAGTCAAATGGGGCAGGGATTAAAACACAAGCTTCTCACATGGGCTCCTCTTATATTGATGGGATAAAGAAACCACATGGTTTTCCAAACATAAAGTTCTCTAGATTTCAAAAGATAGGAAATTTGGATTGACCTAAAGGCTAAACTGGCCTGTAATATTTTCAGAAAACCTTGCCAGAATGGATTTGTAAGACTGTTTGGTTTAAATGATTTTTTTTAAGTGGACCATAATATCATTAGCATAGGGAACCCTCCATGAGGAAACTCATTCCTACCAATTCAGATGAATACTTGCTCTGGTAGATTATAGTCTTAGAGTTGCCTGGGGCATTAAAAGGTTGTGATTTGCCAAGGGTAACCCAGACAGGATACACTGGAGATGGGACTTGAATTCCGACCTTCCTGCCTGTGAGCTCAGCACTCTATTATACCATACTATCTTTCACTTTAAATGGTTTAGATGCTATTTTCAAGAAATTTGACATTTTTCTGAGCCAGTCTGCCAATGGACAATAAAATCTTACAGTTTACATTTCCTACTTTTAACCTCTTTGGTGACATTGTAGTTTGATAATAGATGGATGGACAGATAGATGATAGATAGATAGATAGATAGATAGATAGATAGATAGATATAGATAAAATAGGTAGATAGGTAAATAGATAGAGAGACCTATATGGTAAAAAAATTAGGTCACCACCAGTTCTCAGTGTGTCCATACCTCATATGATGATTGAGAAAAATCTTCTGTCTTGGTGAAACTCTTCAAAGAACTGGTATCAGTCCTCACCCTGAAGATTTCAAGTCTTGATTTTCAGGCCTAAGATACTCAGGGATACCTAGAGAACAAAACTGGCCGCATGCACTCAAGCTAAGCCAAGTCATAGGAAGTTAAGAAAGCAGCTAAAGGGACAGGTAGGTGGTGCAATGGATAGAGCCCTCGCCTATCCAGCCTCCTGGCCTGGAGGCAGGAGGACCCGAGTTCAAATCCGGGTCTCAGACACTTGACACTTACTAGCTGTGTGACCCTGGGCAAATCACTTAACCCTGATTGCCTCACCAAAAAGTAAAAAAAAAAAAAAAGCAGTTAAAACCCAAGATTACTCATGTAATCTCATTCAACATACCTGGAACAGGCCTGGGCTTTGGGAGTGTTTGTGGTGGTATTGCAATGGAATATATTAGGGGCCCTGTACTTATTTCATTAGTATTTGCTACAGCTGTAAACTGCTTGAGGATAAGGTTGCCGTCTCATACTTAACTCTCTTGTATTCCCCCAGTCCAGACGATGGGCACTGTGCAGATAATAGGTGCTCTATAGAAACCTATTTGACTTTCCAGAGGAACTTCTCTTTAAATGAAAAACGCTTCTGAACTCAGACATCCTTTTCATCCTCCTACCTCTTGAGGAAGTTTGTAACCGTGGAGGGAGGCCCAAAGGGCCTGCATGATTTCAGAGCTACTAAAGATACAACCCTTACTCCTGGGTTAGATAACAAACATAGGTTACTGATACTCTTAGATGATATGAAAATGCCATTCAAATGTTTAAGGAGGGCAAATTGAGGAATGGTTGGGGTACTTAGCCCATCCCAATGTGTATAAGGGATGTCCAACAATATTGAGAAGTAGGAAGGGTATCAGGGTTGGGGTGGCTGAAGCTTCACCCATCTCAAATAGGGTTAGTGTGGCTGGCTTTCATTTAGTTGAAGAGTAGGGGTGTTTCCAAAGAGAAAGTGTGTGTTCATCTGTGAACACTATGGCCCTCCTCCCTGGTTGATTCATCTCTCGATGGAAGTGGAGGGCAATAAAC